AGAAAGAGTTATCTTTGGTACAATTTTACCAAAGATAATTTGATAATTATACTTATAATTATTGGTTCTTGAAAATGCTATGAATGCTACCATATTTTCTTTTAACAGGACCCGGAACTGTCGTGTACCTATGTATGTACGACTTCTAACCGGTACACGGTGTATGTACTTCTCGTACTTCTAACCGGCGACCCTCCGAGGGTAATAGTTTTAGTAACCACAACCAAGTCCGAATCAATCTAATCAGGAGGTCTCCTTCTTGTCTTTTTCAAAGGACTGTGAATTTTTCAAGACTAAGATGATGATTTTTTAAAACGTGTGCCCGTAAGCCCAAAGGTGTGCCCGTAAGTCCAGAGCTGCGTGGATTGAACTTCATTGATCGGCTTTATAACGAATATTTCCGTAGATGTGCTTGACAAAACACTACTTGCTCGCGTGACCCTGTGGGGAGCCCTGTTTCTGCAAAGGGGTTTTCTTATTTATTTCAGGACCCTTTCTTTAAATCCTGTTACCCCATCAACGCCTATTTTTCTGATTCCCCAACCAACATAGCTCTGAATGCAAAACGCTTAAATGCGCATAAAATATACAAAACTAACTTATCGCAGGGCATACATAGCTTAACTCACTGGCACTCTGCTCGCCTCCTCCCTTGCGCGTCCACACCCACCACGAGCAGGCCCACTAGCCGTGTGCCACTTGCCATTTTATATCTGACTGCACAGAAACAAAAGCAGTGACAATGAAAATGGCGCGGAGGAGCACCAGCCAAGCCTTTCAGGCTCTTCAATTGGACCAATGGAGCTTAGGGTGTAGTACTTTAAAAGGACTTTGGAACGCCTTTTTTTGACCGAAACTGTGCTTAGATGAGATATTATATAATTCGTGTACAAAATACATTTTTTTTTCAAAGTACTCTATTAGAAAATAAATTAGTAACAAAAACGACCGCGATATGATGATATATGATGATTATATACATATGATTATAAAAGAGATCTAATCTGCGTTTTGGGGTATTATTAGAAGAGGCTTGGATATCTTTCAATACTAGGGCCTGCAGTGCCCTTCGTCACCTACGTGCCGGGCTATGGACAGTGATACATAGTGCCGCATAACCCTTACTCAGGTCGCCTTTTGCGCTCTTCGCTAATGGTAACTGTTGAGTGGATGCAACAAAGCGTGTGCTCTACTAGGGGTGCAGGGAGGCTGCAAGAGGAGGCAGAGGGCGACAGGACCGGGTGGGGCTAGTGGGTGCAGCTGCGGCGGACTGTGCATGAATTCATAAAGAAGGCCCCGCCAACATCGGGCGCGGCAATGGGATTGGAAATGAAGACCGGCGACTGCGGCAACATGTAATTGCGTATTTTATAGATATGCGCGGCCCTTTCAAGGAAACCGGGAGGTTGGGGGTTGTTGTATCCACCATTCGCTCTGTTTGCCTGGGTTTGGTGCGGAAATGGCAACCGGTGTGTTGCAAAATATAACAGCCAGAGCAACAACATCACGCATACGCCATGTTGCGCCACTTAAAGCTTTGGTGTATACGTAATTTTTATTTTACGAGCAAACAAAATCGAAAAATAAAGAAAGCAGAAAACATCCAGCTCTACAAAATGCATTCAGCTCTCCTGCAATAACAAAAATGCGAGGCGGAGTACGGAGAAATTTTAATTGCTCAAAAAGCGTTCATAAAAATCTACACCGAAAAAAATGTCCTATAATCAATACCATTTATTCAAGATATATGTCGTAATGTATTTATATGGTCCTTTTGTAAGTTGTTCATATTAAAGTTTGTAGTACCATATAAATGCTTTTGTAATTTAATGGCATCGATTTCCAATGAGCTTTTCTCAGTGTAGGGATGAGAACATATCCAATATCCAATGTCAATGTGAAGAACATACGAGCACCAACTAAATCAGTTATGGACATGTTTTATTTTTATGATATTTAATTCAATCAAAAGTAAATCAAATTACAAAAGATACCTTTTGGCTTGTAGCTTGTTTAGACAGATGTTTGTTTGACTTTGGATCAAAGAATCGCGGAAATATACGTTTGTTGGCACAGCTTGAGCTTTATGTTTATACTCAAAGGGTCTAATAGTTTTGATCAAAGGAGAGAGTGTAGAAGATTTCTCCGACATATTCAAAGCATTTCCACTTGTCCAAAAATCAAACTTTACAGTTTCCTTAGGTTTTTTTAAATTTTTTTTTCAAACAAAAGACAAAATTACAGATTTATGTTTGAAAAGTCGTTGTTTTTGAAAAATAATTTTGTCGCGTTTGCCTCGAAGTCTACTTTGGCGGCGATGTGGCGAATGGACGCTAAGTCACCAAAAACTCTTTAAATCTACGATTGCTGGAGAACAAGTCTTGAGATTAAAATAAATAATTTTTCGAACACATAATGAGTCTTTAAACACGTTTTCCTCAAAACTCACAGCTGCCAAGCAACGCAAGTTTTAACTTAGTTGTTTATGCAGATTTTCTCTAATATATATTTCTTCCACCGTTTCCCGCTTCTGTTTCTGCTACTCGATTAATACTTCAATAAAGTCTGTTGGCTGGTTTTTATTATAAAATTAAACACCTACATATGTTTATCTTATACTTGTCTACACTATATTGTAAACAACTCTTACAACTGGTCGAAACCAGCCTTAAACATTCACAAAATATGTAAAAGCCTTAATTTATATTTTTCAATAATTTCATGATATAAATTTTTTTAGTTGGTGTTTAAAACTATTCATTGTTTTTAATGTGGATACTTAAGGACTCAAAAATTTAAGTCAATTCAGTTGCAATAGTCCTTTCCCAAACATAAAGAAACTCTACGGCTCTAGAGCCAGGTGCGAAACGCCCTTGGCCACACTTGTGCCCATTTCCACATTTTATTTTCGGCTCGTGGTGGATGAGGAAAGTAAAGCGCTGCTGCATCTAAATAAAGAGGAAATCCCAAAAAGCGCACGCAAATGCACACTTTGCCTTGTGTGTCCTTCCAGGCTCCTTTCGAGCGTGACTCGCCGTGTGTATGCATTATCAGCCATGCGTGGAAATCAGGACGTTTGCGTGGCAGCAAGGCTTTGTTCACGCGGTGCCACCTACTAATGATTATTATGATAGTCATCACTCGAGGAGCGCACCAAGACTGACAATAGGTGTGCATCGGCATTAGAGTGTGAATCTTTTGATAACAAATTCTGGATAAGCGCCGAAACACAAAAGCGACCCAAGCAGGTGAAGCGATTCCGCGGCTTTCAACATTTTTCGGCTTAAGCTTTTCAACTACACAGACGATTAAAATGAGACCGTTTTCGTGCTGAGCTTGGTGTCAGCATTCGGTCATCTTTCAGGTCAGTTAAATTCAAAATTCTCTTGAAAATATTCTCACAAAATGCGTTTCTGTTCCATGTTCGCGCTTGTCTACATAGTCAAAAAACTGGAGAGACGACAAGGAGGACGCGAGCTCAAGGACAAACTGCTGCTGGAGGGATCCTCGGCGCTCCATCCCAGGCACGACATGGAACGGGGCCTGCGGGGAAGGAAGCTGTGCAATCACTTACTTAGAATATTGCCAAAGTGATTAGTCCCAGAGCTCTGTTTTAATTTCAAAATCAGCTAATAAAGTCTTCGCTTAGTGTGGAAAGTATAATTCTGTATATTACTGAACATACGGCTTGGTGTGACTTTCGGTTAGGACGCACCGATGTTCTGGCCATTTCAGGGCCCTTTGTATGGCGAGCTCAGACCAATATGGCGGTTAAAGGACATAAATTACGCCAACACCAATGACAATGATGACAATGAAATGTGACTCCGACCACCCCCGTGTCTGTGTGTGAAAATGACAGTTAGCCAGGCCTGTATTCGGCTGTTCATGTCCCTGCACTTGTCGGCCATTGTTCGGATGTCTAAATTTTGGTGCCGCACAGCGTCGGTGTCAAGCATTGTAGTTTCCTAACTACAATGAACTCCGGTAACCTGTGTTCGTTTTTGTGTGTTCAGGCAACATTAGCAGATTTGAGGTAATGCATTCAATCACAGTCTGGCCGGAAAGATAAGGGGATCAGCTGGAGAGACTCAAGGAAACTGGCACTGCAGCCATCAACATTAGAAAGAATAACTTTTCACAACCATTTTATTCAGATAGTAAAATACCAAAAAGTCGCGGAACGATCACATAAACAAGCAAAAGAGCTGCCACAGAGCACGCCAGACGAGGTCCCGCTCCATTCGTCCGCTTGATGTTCTCCTGCATGTACATGATGGCCACCGAGATGGGCTGCGAGCTCTCGTCACGATGGGTCTTGCTGCATCGGTCGAAGAGCTCAGTGGAGTAGTGAAAGGGAAAGTTGAGACAGTGCAGCTGGATGGGTCGCGTTAGGGGTTCCTCGTAGTTGCGGCCGTCACAGTAGAACTTGCCCTCACTCATGACCACACTGTAGCAGCGAAAGAGCGGCGACTCGTAGAAGGAGATGAGGATATAGGAGACGTCCTCGGTGTCCGTCCGCTTCCAAATGGCGTACGGAGCACCGATGGCTGGGATACGATCCTTGTGCTGCAGGCGGGTTTCTTTTTTATACGTGCTCTGGCAGACGAACTGGAGGATGTGACCCTCGATAAAGGAGCAGTTCTCGGATGCCCCCAGGGCCGGCACCGGTCCGAGCAGGAGCAGAAGCAGCAGCAACAATGGGAGTGGAATCGGGAGCAAAGACGAATTCTGGTTCTTACTGTTTTTCGGGTTCGGGGATGAAGGCGGGCGGAGCGAACGCAGAGCATGCCGAGGGTGCTGAGGAGGATGGAGCGGCGGGCAGTCGATCCACTTGATATTCAGACTTCGTGCGCTTGAGAGGCGCACTGGCATTGCTTATAGGCAAATGATTCTTTGATCATTTTCGAAAAATTTGATGGGAAATTCCAGGAAACTAAGAACGGCAAACTGACTGAACGATCCCCACGCCCCCTGCCTGACAAGCATTTTTCTCGTACTTACTCAGGCCACATCCAGCTGTCCCAGAGCCAACCCATCCCCCAGGGAACTGTTTGGGCGGCTCCCGATGACTCCGGCGGACCCCGCTTTGCATAGTAAAGGGCAATATGTTCGATATCGCACTCAATATTCATACCGCAGGTCTTTTGAAGGGCCACGATGTAGGCGAATCTACCATCATGGCAGTGGATTCTATCAGCTTCTATGTGTTCCCCAGGAGTGTCGCTCTGGTAGCAGTGCAGGCAGTTTAGGCTGAGGGTGACATTTTCGCACGGCGAGATGGCCGAATGGTGGAAGGATATAAGCATTTGGGACACTGGTCGATGTCTCATCCAGATCCAGTACGGCGTGTTTGCCTTGATCCACCTGTCCCGGAAGCTCTGTTTCAGTTCGGCACTTACTTGAGCCTTACAGACCAGTGTAAACGGATCCCCGCCCTCCAGCAGAAACTCGCAGTCGTTGAAAGATGTCGCGGGGGAGGCCAGGAGCAACAGCATAGTCAGTAGCAGATTGCAAGTCATGGCTGCCTATGTAAAGTGTTCCGGAAGAGCTCTGACGTAAAAATCCCTAGTAAAAGTGTCCGAGGCAGATCCCAATCGAAGGCATGGAGAACTTTCAAAAGGATGATTAATATGACATATATACATAATCCAAGTATCGTTTATTGTTCAATACATCAATTTCAAAAGATAGAATATTAAAGTGAAAGTGGCAACCATTACTGGAACTCGAAGTTTTATCGTCCTTGATGCTTCATTCGATGTGGCTTTCTGGACATCAAAGGCGCCGTAGTGAAGGATAGGCTTCTTGGCTACTTCATTTCCACTAGTCTCCCTGGCCTGACCAAGACACAGCCTCTTGAGTTCCATGGGGTAGCGCAGGCTGAAGTCGAAACAGTGAATAGTGGACTGTGCGATTTTCAGGTTAAGCGGCCCGCTCTGTCCCTCTACTAAAAATGAGTGCTGGTCAGGGTAAACGGCGTTTGTCATGATCTTGATGGTCATAAACTCCGCCAGGGGAGAGTGGAAAGAAGCTAAGAAGATCTCGCTGTCCTCTTCAGATCCTTGCCAAATACTGAAGTTCGAACTCTCGGGGGCCCGGTGGTCTCGATAAAGCTCATGTATCTCCTTAGACACGAAGCCTTTGCAAACGATCTTCAACGACACATGTTTGACAAAGGAGCAATTTCCAGTGCTCCGAAATTTCAATGCCGACACAACCGACCACGAAACAAAAGTGATTAAGACAACGAGTATCCACCCCTGGAGCATTACAATGAATTTTCTTGGGACTTTCTCTCTTTCGAACAGTCCGGATTCCGGACACTACTTTTGACAGGAGGTGTGAGTGACTACTGAGGTTTTGCTTGAACCCACTTGGTTTGTGACTAACTTCCAACCAACTTGTTTCAAATTGTACTCATACCTACAATCACCCAAAACCAAGTGACCCATTAGCGACATCACAGTACCGATGAAGCCAAGGAAGCCCATCGTCCTCGTATAGTGAAGACTTTGGGATTTTTTTTAATTATGACATATCTAGGTTTTTTCGTTGGCTTGCTTTTTAAAGAGCACATTTTTGGTCAAATCCGAGGAATGGCTATACAGAAGTCTCTTTGACATCTGGATTTCATTTTAGTTCTTGTAGGTTATCAGACTACGTAGGTACTTTTTTTTTTTTTACATTAAGCCTTATATTAAGTCGATGGTAATACTTTTAAAGTACCAACCGTCAACCATATTCCCTCAAACACCTTAGCTCCTAAATCAGCCATTCTTGAATGGATACTTACTTGTCAAGCAGAGATTTCTTATATTACTTATACCATTTGATATAAAATATGTGATTGTTATGTTGCTTCGCCAATTCCCGAGGATCGGCCTACCAACGGCTATCAACGCTTGGCCAAGCCCTGACATTTTTGAACGGCCTATGACCAGCCAATGATTTCCATACAAACTTGCTGATGCTGCCGTTCAAAAAGCAGCGGCTTATCGTTCTGGCATATTTTAGAAATCATGGACTAAAACATGTAAAAAAAGCTTAAAAAAAATACTAAAAAATTCGCATACCTTATCTGGTACAAAATGGAAAATTTTGGAAAATCTAATCTAATAATAAACAAACATTAATATCATAATAATATCAATAATAATAAACCAAGTCTGCAAGTTCGCTGCTGCTGCTGAAATTCCAAAAAATAGTTTTTTTTATAACACTGCAACTATTGATTGTATTTTATCTCTATTGATTGTAAATATTTTACACGGCAAACTTCAGCTCCATGGCTTTATCGTCAAGATGTCTGCCTGGTAATCCCAAGGTCTGCCTGCTGGGGTTCGATCCCCAGCAGAGGAATATTTATTATGAGTTACATTTATTACGTTTTATTATTTTTTTAACCCCAGTGTTTCAAATTTTTTTTTTTAATTTTATAAAAATTTAAGTTTATAAAAATGTAATTATTTTTCTAAGTGCACAATTTTAAGGGCCATAACATTGTCCGTTACAATTTCCGTGCGATGGCTTGATATCTTAAAGGTTTGTCTATCCACTAAACAAGAGCACTTCGGTTCGATTCCTTCGATAGTTGAGTTTATGTACATAGTGTATATAGTGTTATAGTGTATATAGTGTTATGTGTATATAGTGTTTATGTATATAGTGTTTTCATACAATTGGAATTATATTTCAAATTACTTATGACGACCAATTACTTATTGTTATGTAACTACATTAAGTAATCAGCATGAAATGTTTAAGGAAAGGGAAAAATTTAAAATATTGTATATTGTGAAGAGAGCAGGTATATAGGAAGGTAAAATGGGGTGGTGGTGTGGGTGGTTTAGAGATATAGAACTTTAAGTTGGCATTACTGTTCCATTGAGTTTGGCTTGGTAATTCGTCATGAATAGACTCACGCCTGAACAAACCTTGAAATTAGTGAAATTTAATTTCGAAAATAATGGTTCTGTTCGGCATACGTATCGCGCACAACGTCCATTTTATCGTCGAAAAAATCCTCCATCAAAATAGTTTAGCTATTGCTACTGTAGACCGTAGCACTGAGAAAGACCCAAATGAGCCCATCCGCCATCGTGCACCGGAATCTGTGTCCACTTTATGACATGGCAGATTTTGCGGAAGGATCTTGGTTTGCGTGCTTACAAAATCCAACTCGTGCAAGAATTGATGCCAAACGATCATCAAGCAAGGCGTAGACTCGTCGAATGGCCTCAAAACGAGATTGCCAATGTTCCCGATTTTCATATGCGAATTTGGTATACCGATGAAGCGCAATGCTGGTTGAATGGCTACTTCAACCCCCACTAATTTCTGTGGGGCTATGTACCATAATGTCATTGGTCTATTCGGATGAGCCACAAACGCTTGAACATTAGGAAGACAACATTCGCCGTGTTATTGCCGATATACGGCCCCAAATGCTGGAAAGAGTAATCGAAAATTGGACGTCCAGAGTTGAAGTTTAGAGTTAGAGAGTTGGTGAGATTTCAGAAGGATCGGCCGTCTATATCCGTTAGGTGCAAAATAACTGAAAGAACGGGCTTGACTCCTATATCGGGCCGATGTTAACAATGGATGCTGCTGCCCGATGCTCGGCCGATGCTTCTAAATCGGCATCCACTCTCGGCCCAATACTAGGCCGATGCTAATTCTTTGCATGGAAAGTTAGGTTTCGCTTATCATATAGAGGCAGTGCATTTATTGCAACTTTATTCAACCTTCTTGTGACATCAAACAATGCAGAAACATCGTGCTGCAGAAGTAGTTCAATAAACATTCTTAAATAAATTAAAGTGGAATAAGGGGAATGGTATGCGACAAATAGATCTGCACCTGCATCCATAGACCTGGATTGCCTGGAATGTAAAAATTGAATACTCGACGAAAACAAAAAGGCAAACTGAGAAAAGAAGTACAGAGCAACGCATTTTCTTACAGTTACCCTTGGCAGGAATTTGCTGATTTAACTCTTTTTAGAGGCTGTCCCTTGTTCGTTCTTTTCATTCTGTTACTGAGTTAGATTGCTAAATTGTATTATGTGTGTATTGATTGAATCAGGTGGTGCTATCGAGAGCGGCTGAATAAGATTGCACGCTTCGGAGTATGTGGAGCAGGTGTATTGCTGGATTTAATAAAGGGACAAAGAAAGAAGCGCATTAAGTAAGAAAATAACGTAGCTTCTTGTCCATAGCCTTTCCGAGATTGACAACCTTTATGACACATCCTTCAAAAATAAAATCAGAATCTTATGCTGACATACCCCTTTCTTTTCTTTATAACTCGCAATCCTTTGTGTGTCACAACTGAGCTTACTTTTATCGCTTTTGGCTTTAAATGACAATAAGACTATAAGTCGCGGCTTGCCGTTGATGAATTTTTAGAATTTGGATGCCTTCGACACCCGTCATCAGCAGAAGCTTGGGCAATTAATAAAAACAAAGGCTTTGGTATCTGGTCATAGATATGTAGTATGGAACTAAAGAATAAGGTTGCAGAAACTAAAGGGAACCTGCAGAAATAATTCCATTAGCAAAATAAATAATCAAAGGCCAAATAAATGATTGAGCAGCATCAGGAGAACTGACTAGCAGAGGGCTGTGTGAATGTCCTTGATTGCGCCTCATCCTGTCACTGCCAGGGATGCCGAACAAAACTGGGATGGCCCATCGCGTGCGACGAAATGCAAACACCCTCATCGCCTTGGTCCGGACTGCGGAGCTGCTGAAGTCTCCAAAGGCGTCACTCTACTGCGGCCGACTGAATACATATTACATGAGCCCGTGCTCACATATTGACCCACTCCAACGTGCCACTCCCAATCCACTCCACTATTACACACGGCAGAGCCACAAACTCTGAACCGCCACCTGGGCAGAGGGGCCTGTGAGTAGTTTTGGTTAATAAAGTCAAATGCCACCAAAATCAAAAGGAAAATGCCACTTACTCCTAATGGCATCCAGGCATCCTGGCTGCCTGGCATCGGTGGGTGGGTGCCCCGCCTGGCAGATCCTGTCTTGACAACGACCACACCGAGAAACCGGCTTGGGCCCACTTGAGCCACGTCGATGTCGATGAACGCGGCTGGGGGAGGTCGGTGGATTTTTAATTGTATTAGCATCCCTCGGACCGAGATCCCTGGCCTCCGTGGACAGCTCGCATCTCGGTGTGGCTGGCGTCTGTGTGGCACTTAAGTGCGTGCCGGGTACACCAAATATTTGATATTGCCTTATTTGATTTGGCTCGCAGATTGAGCGGGGCTTTTAGCCGGGGTTGGGCCGAGTCCAGCGAAATGCAAATAGTTCCAGGAATGCTGGTTAAGACGCATTAGAGCCGGGCCCAAATACCGCAATATTGCCTAATGGAAGGACCGAGTAGAACTTTTGATTAATTAAATTGGCCTGCCAATGCAGGCATTTGTCCGACTCATAACTTTCGCAAGCACTTTTGACCCACAGCAGAATGTTTCAGCAGAAACCACTGGAGCTATATGCCTCAAAAACTGGAGCTATAAGCGTCATAATAGGGTTTCTCTTTGGAAGTGAATGTGAAATCTAGGTTTTTATCAATGGTTTTGATTGTAGTCTTCAAAAAGCATGAAAAGTATTCAATGTTCAAGATACAATTATTTTCTAAATTAAATAGTCATAATAAACCAAATTTATTAAAGTTAGTTGTTTTTTTTCTAGGCAAGGCAAGTTTTTCAATTGGAAATAATGAAATATATGAGAAAGCCATAAACCCCAACCGGAAGCCCTTGCTGTGACATGTTGCACAGTTTAATTTAGCTTTTAAAATAGTATGGGTGGCTCGTCTGGGATTGAAGCATGTTTCAAAGGACGAATATTATTTAATGTCAGCTTTTAAAGAAACCGTGCGTGTATACGAATCGTCGGTGGCAGCCGGAAGATGACACGAAATTGATATTATGAGAGTGGACGAAGTAGGTAAATGAAGCGTGAAACTTTAATGGACTGCCTTATGAACTAAATCCAGCCAGTGCTCCGAGCGCCACCTCGAACGACAATTTGTTTAAGATTCAAAAAGAAAAATAAAATAAAACTAATCAACGTCGTATGTCCGTTGATTTTTCCGCGCCGTCGACACGGAAATACAACCTGAGACTTGGCCAGATAGAGGCGATGCGTGCTAAGGTGAAGTTAGGAAAACATTTTCCTTTGTTTCAGTAATTTATTGGATGTCATAAATCGACGGGCGTGCAGGGGGAGTGTCTTTGGGAGCCACAAGGTGTAAAGATTTTGAAATCCAGACAAACCTCCTAGGCGAAAATAATCTAACCCACGAAGCTAAGTCATTGGCTGTTGCAGGGCGAAGACTGACCAGA